CTGCAAAGTGTGTTTTGTCGATAATTAAAAAAAATCAAATATATATTATTTTATAATAATTTCAAACTATTTATAAATATATACAGGTAAAGGTGTTAAAATTGGATTGTGTGGGATATGGAGCCATGCAGCAGCAACAACCTTCCCCAAGTATTAAACTACTGCCATAGAGATTTCCAACCAACAATGTTACCGACCGATGTGTTGAAAAGTCAAAGCAGCCGGCAGCTGATTAGATAAATTAGTCAGCATGATTTGGTTGAAAAGTGAAATGGAAAATTGTAAATTTAATCTTTATACTTTAGAGTATTTACAAGATTAGCTTCAACTATAAATTCCCTAACCCATTTAGCTTCAAAATCATCCCAAATCATTCTAGCTTTTTTCCAATATCATAGAATTTAGAAAGATTTCTTGAGACTTGTTTTCTCCTTGTTAGATCGAAAGAAATTGTAATTCCTATTTTCTCATAGTGAAATCCTTCTATCTTTGCCCGTGGTTTTTATCCTATATTATTTAGGGGTTTTTCACGTAAAATTTGTGTTTTCTTTATCTTCATTTTTATTTTCTCAAATTATCAGTTGCGATTTTGCTCTATCCGACATATGTATTCCGCAACACGATGGAGTTTGAGGCCTGAAAATTTTAGTCAGAAATGGGAAAACTTGTTTGGTATATTTGGTGTATGTATTTAGATTTGAAATGGATAATTCCCCCACATCCATGTACCATACGTATAGGCCAGGGTTTCAAGCAAATATATTCATTGTGCTACACCAAATCTTTTTAACAAACCCGGTCACTTTTTCTTCAATTCAACCTCGTTATTTGTCCATTTAATATCCTATTTAAACCCACGTTAGACTCGTCAATATTTTAAAAAATATAATTTTATTGATTGAGTTGAGTTTAACTAGTATTATTATTAATACAAGGATGAATATTTGTTTGAATCTAGTCAGAATTTCAAATTAGTCAAGTTTACAAATCTAAAATTAAAAGGATATTAATAACGCGACATGTTAATTAAAGGGATATCAATAAATTGATCTCTAAATTTTTAAAATTTTATATATTCACCTTATTTAATTAAAAAAACTTACCAATGTATCGTTTCTAAAAAAACTCAAATTCATTAAAGAGAATTTGAGTGACAACTTTCTGAAATAATAAAATAAAAATTTATATAATGTTATCAAACACTTAATTGAGGTTGTGTCATAGGTTAATTGAGCTTGAATTCAGTTAATTTTTTATTCTTAAATAACAACTAATATAATTGCAATGATATTCTTTTATATAATTAAACTCATATCGAATAAAAAAATTAAAATATTTTGCATATGAAAAATATAGAAAAAAATGTGCTATGCATATCATCAAATAAGAGAAGCTTAATATGAACGGGTTAAACGTACAAATATATAAGACGTCTTGTAATCGACCTTTAGTCAACTTTTAAAATAGTGATGTTATGACTATATCAACGGCTAGTTAAGGTTAAATTACTTTATGAAGGGTCAAAATCAAGTTTTTAGTTTTCTGTGCCGTCCCTAACATACTATTAATAATCTGATACCGATGTTTCCCTGTTTTTATTCATCAGAATTAAAAAGAAATTATTATCATTAGTAGCTTTGATCCTTAATTTCACAAAATCCCTGATTTTTTTTTTCATTTTGTTTATTAATAATGACAATACATGTGGGAGCTTGTATCAAATTCAATCCTCGACATGATCCGAGTTTGATATAGACTCAAAGAAAAAAAATTAATTTAATTTAAAGCGATAAATTTAGCGAAGATTAATTAGAGATTAAGTCGATTTTTAAGAATCATATTGTATTCTTTTATTTTCAACTTAAAAAAAATATATTCCTTTTTTTGGATAAAAAGCTTTTCACAAATAATTTATTAGTTAACTAATTAACATAGGTTGTTCCTCTTAAATATGTTTTTATTTTATTTTCAATGTCATATTTTAAACTTCTAACTTATTTAAGAGATCTAATTTTGAATCTCATTCAACCGACTAATAATTAATATTATACTTCATAATTTTTATATTGATGCAATCATAATTTTATCATTTATGGAGAACCAAAATACAATTTTATTATTTTGGAGACTAAATCCTAAATCAATCCTGAATTTCGTCCTGATTATCTTCTTTGGACGTTGTAGATAGCCTCAAAGTTTTATCACGCATTACGAGGAAATCGAATGTCCAAATTAGTAGTACAATTTCAGTTTCAGTCCTTTCAAAATCTTAATATTTCAATTTAATCCAATTAATCCCTAAGTCGTGGGAAAATGAAAAGAGAAGTGGCCTAGTTGAACAAAGGGAGAGTAACTGAGCGTTTGTCCGTGCTGATTCACACATTTGACATAGAACCCTGAATTCGTAAACGAGATGGAAATACCCCCCATCCGCAAAAAAAGAGCGTGGCATCACGCCCGAAGCAAGAACACGAAACGGTCGGCGGTGTTCACGCGCCGGTATTACGTGATTGATTTTTTGAGTAAAGTATAGTAATAGTCACTGAACATTTCTGAAACTTGCATTTAGGTCCCCCAACATTTAAAACTTGCAATACAGTCCCCCAACATTTATTCCGTTTGCAATATGGTCCCCCAACTTAAACCACAGTTAGAAAATTAGGATAAATTATATAAACGGTCATTGAACTTTTCAGTCACTTGAATTTCGGTCCCCCAACTTTTAAAACTTGCAAAACAGTCATCAATTTCATTCTAAACCCCAATTTCCAAAGTAATTCAATTTTATTCTAAACCCTAAATTCTAAAATACTTCAATTAAATTCTAAAATACTTCAATTTAAGGTAATATAGGCTTGAAGAAAGAGTTCAAGGCACAGACACAACGAATAAAAATATATTTATATAAATGTATATTTATATTTAGATGTATAAATAAAAATATATTCATATATTAATGTATGAATCATTTATATTTTTTGAATATTTTATTTTTAATAAGAAATTAAAATTATTAATTATATTAGAAATACTCAACTTAAGATTATATATAATCATGAATTATAAATATGAAAAATATAATTATTAAATTTAATTTAAAAATATATAAATCTTAAATTTATTCTTTTAAAATATTGTATCAACTAATATTTAAAAAATATATTAAATCTATCAAACAATTTATCAAATAAAATATTTTTTTATTGTAAAAAATATAATATTTTCCCATTATTTATTGCTTTCAAATTTTTTGCCGAAGTTCAAATCTCATTATTTCCATTTTACATTATATTCTTTTTTTCCTGGCATTGGTCATACTATTAGTATATGTATTATTGTATATCTCTTAACACAAACGATGGTGTTAGCTTAGTGGCTCCACCCTATATCTTTCATTTGCGTGACTCAGGTTTGAGTTTGCCCAAGACCCAAATTTTACTTCTTTGTAACTTAATTTTCTTCTAATTAGGAGGTGACATGTGTCACCAATAACACATATCATGATCATGTGTTAACACATGTCAGATCCTGATTAAATGATTAATTTATTAAATTTTATTTAATTTAGGACCAAATTGATAGCATATATAAATAATTAGGTGGTAACACGTGTCACCAATGACACGTGTCATGATCATGTGCTAACACATGTCAGATCCTAATTAAATGATTAATTTATTAAATTTAATTTAATTTAGGACCAAATTGATTATATAAATAATAAAGACTAGTGGCTTAGTTGAAACAGTTAAATAATTATGTGGTATGATTGATAAATTTAAAAGATCGATGACAAAAGTAAAAAGGGCTAGATAGTTAAGTTGTCAACCGAGTAGTTTACACTTTTATTTATACGTCAAAATAACATTTTATAAATTTAAAATTCGAATTATTTTCAACCTCTTTTATATCCTAACTACTTTTTTTAATTAAAAAATTTCTTCAACAGATAAGAATTATACTATTATATTTATATAAAAAAATACGTATCACATGAAATAAGATGAAATTAAATAATAATAACTTTGACATAATTGAATTTAATTTAAGTATTTTGGAATTTAGGGTTTAGAATAAAATTGAATTACTTTGGAAATTGGGGTTTAGAATGAAATTGATGACTGTTTTGCAAGTTTTAAAAGTTGGGGGACCGAAATTCAAGTGACTGAAAAGTTCAATGACCGTTTATATAATTTATCCTAATTTTCTAACTGTGGTTTAAGTTGGGGGACCATATTGCAAACGGAATAAATGTTGGAGGACTGTATTGCAAGTTTTAAATGTTGGGGGACCTAAATGCAAGCTTCTGAAATGTTCAGTGACCATTACTATACTTTACCCTTGATTTTTCCTTTTTAACCGTGTGCAAAACTGAATTACGGAAAAAAGTTAACCGAAGTTAGTTGCTTTGTTTGCAACAAATTTAACCGCTTTCAAAACAGAACCCACGTGCATTTTTCACCTGCACCAAGCAAAAACACACGTCGGATTCGTGCTGAGTTTATTTTTAATTTTATGGTGAAAATTCTTAATTTATGAGATATATATTTTTAATTAAATCTTTATTTTATCAAGTAAAAGTTATATATTTGAATCAGTAGAGGTCGACACCTTTTTTACTTAAAATATAAGATGAATTTGAGATTCGATAAATATTCTAAATTTAAATCAAATCAATTAACGGACGAAAAAGAATACTATTAAAATTATGTTCAAATGGATCAAAATTTAGTTTTATCCGACGAATGTCCAACTTTAAAAAACAAAAGGATAAAAGTAAAAGAAAAATACAGAGCTCAGTTTTTTTTTTCACCAGGGTCAACACCATAGAAACAAGCACTAAACATGGTTAAGAATGTAATTAAGCGTAATAAACAGGTGTTTCACTGTTTATACTATAATTATTTAATCTGATTCTGTTCTGTCGTTGTTTGATCTCTCTTCCTTTTATATAAGGTTTCCAGTTTGCTTTTTTATAGGCGTCTCTTGAGCCACAAGAGAAAAAGAAGACAAAGTAAAACGCAGACGATGAATGCACGGATTTCCATATCATTTTGGATATCACATTGATTTTCTAGAGAGAAGAAAAAAATGAGAACAAGGAGAGGGTTCTGTTACCCCAGAGCCGATGTTTGTTTAGAGAAGACAGTCGTTAAAATTACGGGTTTCGCCGGGGATAATATGGGTTGCCGGAAACGAAGAAGACTCTCGCCGGAGATTTCCCGAAAGAGAGATTATTTTGATGCTTTGCCCGATGATCTTGTCATTTCTGTTCTCTCTAAACTAAGCTCAACTGCCCGTTGCCCATCCGATTTCGCCAACGCTTTAGTTGTGTAAGTTTACTGGATTTTCCCCCGTTGCTTGTTTCTCGGAAAAGAACGTTTAACCGCCCGTTGCCCTTCCGATTTTTCCCCTTCCGATTTCGCCCGTTGCCCTTCCAATTTTCTCCCTGATTTCGCCCAACCGACCGTCATTTCTGATGATTTCCTTTTCTATTTTGTTGAACAGATGCAAGAGATTAAATAGTTTAGCACTTTATCCCCTTGTATTATCCAAAGCCTCTCCGAAAATGTTTGCAATTAAAGCTAGAAACTGGTCGGAATCGATTCGGAGATTCTTGAAGAACTGTGCCGATGCCGGAAATGTTGAAGCTTGTTATACACTCGGCATGGTGAGTTTCGATTTTTGATTCTAGAAGAAAAATATAAACATTCTGTAACGAGTTTAACTGTTATATAATTTGAAACAGATTCTTTTCTACTGTTTAGAGAATCGAGAGAGTGGAGCCTCTCTTATCGCTAAGGCGGCGATTAATTCACACGCGCCGGCGCTTTACTCCTTAGCTGTGATTCAGTTCAATGGAAGCGGCGGCTCCAAGAACGACAAAGATCTTAGAGCCGGCGTGGTTTTGTGTGCTCGTGCTGCTTTTCTTGGCCACATCGACGCCCTCCGTGAGCTCGGTCACTGTCTGCGGGACGGTTACGGCGTCCGGCAAAATGTCATCGAAGGCCGTCGGTTTCTCGTACAAGCCAACGCCCGAGAGTTAGCGGCTGTTTTATCATCAGTGGGGACTTCTAAAAAAATTATGCGCTCTTGGCTCACGTGGAGCCTACACCCTGACCTTAACCTTAGCCAGCGCCATCCGGCGGTCCCAGGTTGCCCGTTGCTGAGCGATTTCGGATGCAATGTGCTGGCTCCGGAGGCGCATCCGGCTAGCAAGTTCTTGGTCGAGTGGTTCAGCGCTCGGGGCTGTGTGCCTGGCCCGGGCTTGAGACTATGCTCCCATATAGGTTGTGGGAGACCGGAAACGACAAAGCACGAGTTCCGGAGGTGTTCCGTTTGCGGGGCTGTATATTACTGTTCACGCGCTTGCCAAACTCTTGACTGGAAGCTGCGCCACAAAGCTGAGTGCGCACCGGTAGAGAGATGGCTCGATGAAGAAGGCGATGGCTTCGAGGGAAACGAAGCGGTAAATGAGAACGACGACGTTATCGCCGAAAGTTAAAATAATAACGGCTCATGGTAATTTATTTATTTTTAAGGCAACGAGAAAATGAAAAACCGAGGGCAGTTTTGGTGGAATATTCGAGGTTAAAAATCAACGTTTGCGATGACGATAGTTGCTGAAACGGCACGGTTTTATTTCTATATGTAATTTATAGATGGGGCTTTGTTTATCCCTTCTTCTTCTTCTTTTTTTTTTTTTGGTTAAATCCCTCTTGTACTATATAGATCAACGTTCACCTTGGGTAAATTAAAATTCAATATCTGCTAATTTTGTAGGCATATCATATATTGGCATTTTGTTCAACTTTTACCGTCCAACTCAGTTGGTAGAGCGTAAGGTTTCTAATTTTGTGGTTGTGGGATCGAGTCTCACAGTGGACAATTCATAATTTCGGAGGTCTCTCACGGAAACTATTCTCAACCTGGCGTTGAGGACAGTCCATTATCCTATCTCCCCATCACCTCATTATATATGGAAAAAAGGATCAGTTAATTTTTTTTGTTTGCAAATGTGGGTTCCGAATTACAATTAGATTGCCTAAGATGAAAGCTCTTTTTTTCTTTTACAACAATTATTCAGGAAAAAATATGATCTCGATTATGTTCAAAATAAATATTACTTTTAAATTATTTATATTTTTTATAAATTTTAAATCTAATTCTAATTTTAATTTTGCATAGAAGGGAGGGGAAGAGAAAACTCTACGAGAAGAAAGTAGAGTACTTCTAATAGGTATAGAACCCATGACTTAAAAGAATATAAATGGTCAAATAGGAGTAACTTGGTTAATCGTTCAAATGTGCTTGCTCATAAATTTTATATTTTTAAATCATAAAAAATATGTTTAATGTACATTTGAATGTGACAATCGAATGGTTACATGACATTTGAATTTATACTTAAAGAATATTATATTTATTATCACTTAATATATAATATAATGATAAAAAACTCGTAACATTTAATTGAATAGTTGCTTTAATTCATTTTGAGACAAAAAAGTCATTAGTCGAGTGAAAATCACTAGTTGATTAATTATCGACGTTTGTTACGGATATATTAAGTCCTATTTATCTAAAATAATAACATGATACATTCAACGTGTATCTAAATATATGTGATAATATGGCACATGTCATATAAACATCATTGATGATGTGACACGTATTACATGTACATAATAATTTATCATGTCATATAAACATCATTGATTAATATAATGCATGTCATCATGAATCATTAGCTGATAGAGAAACCCCATTATCTGTATTTAAAAAAATAAATCTCGTCAAGGAAGATTGCTTTCGTTGAATTTTTCAAAAACTGGGAATTAAAATGGACAGGAAAAGGTTACGAAATCCTGACCATGTCTTTTGCTTGCGCCACAAAACACAGGGAGTGAATCTGAAAATGAAACAAAACAAGAGTCTCTTAACAACCAATTCATTCTTCTTCGTTTCATTAATGCATAGAAAGTAAAACATCTAATTATTGCCATCATTATGGTATGATAAAGATATATACGGACCACCTCTTGATATAATGTTTTATGTTAAGTTTAAAAGATAAGAATATCATACAAACATAATGTGTCTAATGCATATGAAATGAAGCCCAAGGCCCATGTTCTCCATTTGGATTGGGTCTTCTTGATCAACCAATTTGGACCCAACCATACTTTCCAACTCCTTTTTCCTCATGTCGTCGTTATTAGGGATGATTGGAATATTCAAGATCATAAACTTAAATAGGCAATTCACATTTAAATATTACATTGCAAAGAACTAAACATTAACTCAATCGACTTCAATCCCCTAATTTTTGTTAGCCATAAATCCAAAGATTAAGCATCAAACAACAGCATGAACTCAAATGGGCAATTCACATTTGGATCTAACATTGCAAAGAATTAAAAACAAGTATCCAAATTTTACGTTGACAGAACTATCAAAGATGAATCATTTGATTTTATGGCAAAAGCAAAACGTTGTGAAGCTTCTTTACCTTGATTTACAATCGAAGGAAGAAAAGAAAAAGTTACCTAACCCGAATTCGAATCAGAATCCGAACCTGAATACGAACTGGAATCCAATTTACGAGCATCATCATCGACATGTTTGGTGTCCATTTTGTCCTTCATCGACACCTTTACTCAAATCCGCAACCGGAATCAATGGCAGATACGTGAACACAGGGTAACCTTTCCCGCTCATGTCGTTAACCAAACAGTTGTCGGACAAATTCTTAGCCGTGGGGCTGAGTGGAAAGATGGACTCTGATTCAGTTTCACCCACAACTTCGTTGAGCTCACCAGAACCAGCTGCCTGTACTCGCTCACGGAGTAGTTCAAAGCGCTGCGAGCGCCGTTGGTTCGAGCCTCGTCGACTAATTTCTGAGCCTTTTCTCTCTGCCGTATGAACCAAATCTTGCGCTTGGTTCACCATTTGCTTACCGGCTGGTGGCACATACTCGTCAAATTTGTGCGTAGCTTCATCTACCTGCAACAGTTACTTTTTAATAAAATTTACTTCAGTTTTCAAAGTACTCCATAACTAATCGAGATTAAACTAGAAACAACGGATACTTACCAAAAAAAATTATCCAAACAAGGAAATATATATATCGTCTAATACACAATTCACTGTTTATAGAATTATACACTGAATATAAATCCACATCACCTTGGTATCAAGATAAACAAGAAGAAGATCAGGAATGGCCTTGTATTTCTGGTAGACAGGGCCAACGATGGTGGCGACGGTGCCCTCAAAGGTTCTGACGGTGGATCGTAATGGACCGGATTTCTGTTTAGCATACTCGTAAAGATTCGAAACGCAAACCAACGCACAGATCGCAGCCACCCTCACCAAGCCTACGTGCTTCAGGCCCTGTTTAGTTCTCTCACACTCTACCTCCTAAAACATGGTAATATTAATAATACATTTTCAAAAAAAAAATCATAAGCTTAACCTAAATGCACGAAAGAGAAGAAAAGAAGATGAATGCCTTTTCCATGGTTGCAAGCTTCTTTGATAGTAGATCTTTAGGGCTTCCGTTTCCGTTCTTGTTTTTGAGTTGTTTAGAAATGCTCTTAGTACGTGAGGCTTGAGTCTGTTGCAACGAACAAAGATCGAATAACTTTTCAATCTGGACCGTTTAATAAAAATCCAACGGTGGATAGTTAATCTGGACCGTTTAAATTGACATTAAGTGTGATTTAATTGAAAAAAATAGCAAATTTAATTCCTTCAAAAACACATGTTCAAGTTTCATTCAAATAAAGATTTAACCTTTCAAAACAGTTGTTTATCGGATCTGTTATGTTAAACTTTGTATCCATTCAAATAAAGATTTAACCTTTCAAAACAGTCGAATAAGAACATAACGTCTTGTATCTGCTAAAATAAGGAAATATGCAAATTATATAAAAATACATCCATGTCCTAGTGAACTACTGCAGTCCTTTTTCATCTGGTACTTTCTAACCATTTTTCAATCCACACAACTCTATAACATGCGTTTCTAGGCTAACATCATTCAATCTGAATAAGAGTTACACTGTCAACTATGTTAAATCTTTTTTTAGACTGTTCGAACACGTCGACATTCAGCTTATTTCTCTCTTTTTTCTATTCGGAATCCCACACCTCCGAATCGGAGTTTGGCTCAGGCCTTAACGAAGGGAATGGTTATAACTGTCTATGATAGAGGAACAGAATCAGTCCCTATTCAACTATAATTTGCAGTTCCGTTTCATGATAAAACTCACCTCTCAAACGGATCTCCCCTATTTGAATCTAGAGTGGGATAAACGGCTGTGGCAATTTTCTCCCGCAGATTGAATTTCTTCGCTATCAATGGCCTCACATCTTTGACTCCAACCAGGCTCTCCAGAAACGGAAGTAGTAAAAGCAGTTCTTGATCTGAATGGTCGTCAAACCAGCTCTCGATCGGTATTCCGTTGTCCACTTGGAATCCAAATGCCTAAGAAGAAAGCCGACATGCACCTCGGTTAAATTTCAGAAACAATGCTTTGTCATGCCTTCATACATGGCACAACATCATAAGAGATTGACATCATGATATTAAGACTAAAACATAGGCATACCCAATCAACATGCATGAGAAGGATTGAACTACACTCAGCTTCTCAAAATGCAGACTATGGGGGGTTTCATCAAATTTTGAGAGAAAACTGTGGTCGACGACACACATAATATTAATAACTAATAAGCATACATACTGATGTACTTATTTGTCTTCTATGCTAAACCTATCATAACCACAGCAAATATTACTTTTTTTTAAAAGCTAATACCATGTCATATGCGCTGGGTGTGCATTAATGAACTGAAAATGACTATTTTCCTTTTTTGGGGCTTCTTCTTCGGTGCTCAGAAGAAACACTAATACAAAGCCCATGCAAGAGAGGAGTTCTGAAAGTACCTGCGGAGAGTTGTCAATAATGATTACATGTGCCAGCTCACGGCCAAGGACTGACAAATCCTTGAGGTAATTGCCATCCACAAAAACACATGATTCTCGGAAAACACGATGGCGAAATACTCTCCTCTTTGGATCAAGCACATTCTGTGTTTTAAAAGGTGCGAGGCGCTCCAAGGCGATTAGCTACCCGAAAGCCTTAATTTTTGAGGCGCTTTGAGGCGAGGGATTCACGTATGCGAGGCGCTTAATTTTACAAAACATTTGTAAATATTTTATAACCATACCTCAAACACAAAACAACTTAATAATTAACTTAATAAACAAAAACACCAAGAAAAATATGTCATATTGTATCTTAAAAAGACAAATAAAAAACATCATCAATAATCAAAATGCCTAAAACTCATCTTCATCATCATCGTCATCAACATCAATCCCAAGCATCTCCTCCTCCCCATCATCTTCGGAAAGTCCAATATCTTGTTCTATCTCTTCATCGTCTTCATCAATCAAATTTAGTCCAGTAGGGCCTTCTACGAGTGGAGGTTTGGGCAACACCCTTTCCTCTATCTCTTGATGAACTTGATGTAGATGTTCTTCTAGTGGAATAAGTAGCTTAAGATGCTCCGGAAGCTTTATCAACAGCATACCATGTTAAATCATCTCCATCAAAGACAAAGTCGTCCTCCTCACCATCTTCATCGTCCATATGGCCCATCAACCACTCGTTGCTTTCATCTATTTCCTTTAAAAGAATAGGATCTGTGGTGTCCTTTCTTTGATATCTCCGTCGCAAAGCACAATTAAACTTGGCATACACCATGCCATTTAAACGACTTTGTGCCAATCTATTTCTCCTTTTTGAATGAAGTTGTTGAAAAACGATCCAGTTCCTCTCGCAACCCGTAGCACTACAAGTTAGGCTAAGAACTCGGATTGCAAATTTCTGTAACTCCGGTGCTGAGGCTCCATATACAAACCACTAATCCGCTATTAACATATAAAATAAATCAAGATTTAATTTTGTGAGGTATGATATATATATAATATACCGTTGTGTAAAATAAATCAAGATTTAATTTTACACATCAATGATTGTTTAATCTGTAATATAAATAAATTAATCTCAATTTCCAAAATAAAAATAAGACTTGTGAATATTATTTTAGTGTAAATTATATTATATAGTTTTTATACTATAAGAAATAACCTCGTAAGCCATCATTTAATTTTTTTAACAAGATAAAAACTGTTAATTTATTAAAAATAAAAAATAAAAAAATTATAATAAAATTTTTTAACCACAACCGTTTAAAATATAAAAAAATTATAATTACAATCTCAAATTAAAACACATGACAATTAATATTTTTTTTATATAATTATTAACCCTTAACATCACACACAAATTATATAAGAAAAATATTAAAAAATTAATTAAATAGACTCGAATAAAATATACGAACAGGTTTGGTGTGAATCACCATCTTTGAAACAGAGTTACCCAGATAAATCATTACCACTTTTTTTTACTTTTTCTTTTAGTATTCTCGCTCTCTCCCATCACAATCCCGGTAGGAGGCACTAGGGGTTCGGTCTCTGATCTCTTGAAAGTGAAACCAACAGTTCCTTGTGCGTGGGTTCCCTTTCTTTGCTTTTAAAGTATCAGCAACACTACGAATCTAAAAAAATGGAGTCTCCCCAATATCAACAACAACAACAACCAAAGAAGAGAGGTCGAAAACCCAAGCCAAAGGACGAGAAAGAACAACAACAACAAAGCGCTGCTAAAATGAAAGAAGGAAAGAAATGGGTCATTGTACGTGAATCGCCAAAAGCATCGCCTCGTCGCCTCTCGCCGCCTCTGACAACTGAATCGCCGCCTCATGTACTCGCCGCCGCCTTGGTGGTCGGAGGCTTTCTTCTAAACGCCTCGCCTCGCCTAGCGCCTCAGGCGCGCTTTTTAAAACACAAAGCACATTTAGTAGTTGTTGAGCATATATGCCTTGACTTGCTGTAAATATAATTATCTCAAAAAGACCGGAAACTTGTTCCATAAAATCTCTTAGGTGAGGACGGCATCTAACATAAACAGTGTGTTCCTGGTGATTAAAATTTACAGGGAATGTGAAGTCTGCATCATCGCAAGGTTCTAGTGAGGAATGAACCAAAGTTTCTGCCAAAGCAATACAATTGAATCAATACCAAAGGGCAATCATTACCAATTATAAGCAGAAAATTCAATGCTAAAATAATGTTTGAATATAGATAAGCCTAAAAAATATTAGGGAATTCTAATGACACTTAAAAATAAGCTTAGATTTCTCGAAGAAAAGAATAAGTTATAAATTAAGATCTGCTTAAATAGTTAGATAAAAAAAGAATATAAATCTAAAACTTGTTGCTTGAAGGCTTAAAGAGTCGGAACTCAGGTTTAAAATACTGCCAAAACTGAAACTGTATGCATAAAAATTCATCTAATTGAATTATCCATTCTCACCATCCAAGTCCAAGACTAGAGTGGTAGGTGGGCAACTTCGGTATGTGGAAGCCTGGAGAAAATATAGTACCGGTCCTACCAGACATATGGTGTTCGGTGTCCTGCAACAGCATTAAAGAAGTAAGCAAATTCTCAACAGCATAGAGCTAACTAAAATAAAACAAATCTAAGAAAATTACCCCGTGGACTACGTGAACACCATTAGCCACATCAAATCCAAGACAAGCATCAGAAGCATCATCATGCTGCAAGGCATATCTAGCATTTAAATTTGTAGCCTCAACAGGCACTTCATTTTGTTTTGGGAGTGTCCTGGCTGAAATATGATAAATTTCACAATTTAACTAACATAACAGATCTTAGAGTTAAAAACAGATGTTGACTTGGAAGCCACGTAAGTTTAAACCCACTGAATGTTTTTAATGGAGCCAAAATCAAGAACAAGTAAAAGCGTTACCACTGCAATGTTTTCCTTTTAATCAAACAAGTTCTGAGGTAAAATTAGACCAACATATTACATACCAGGTTTCTGCTTCCTAACGGAAAATTTAATTAGCTCCGTTACTTTCTTCCCTGGACCGTGTACCTTCTCAGATACCTTCTTCTGAGACCTTGAAGCCTTGGGACTGGCATGATCTCAGGAAGCAATTCTTCCAGAAATTCGTTTCTTTGTTTGCATTGGACCAGGCGTTTCGTTCCAATCCTCGGGATACTATAAATGCCAAGTGTTGTTGAATTAAATAATTCAAATTCCAAGGGTTATGATTCAAATTTAAAGCATTTAAAATTCAATAAAACTTTTAGAAATAAAATGGAAGTACTCCCATACCATGTTCTGACAGTTTAATGCAGGCTGAAACAATTAAAATAACAACCATGTCAAATCTCTAGCTTAAACTTAATTTATATTACCCAAAACTGTCACATTTTACTCATTTTAGAATTGCTTCCATTCAAAACCAGATCATACCCGGAACTCTCCACCTAATTTAAGTCTACAAAAATGCAGGCTGTCATTTCAGGGATCTTAACTTACCCCACTACATCCCCCAAAGAATTCAAATTTCCAACAACATTCAAACAAAATTCAACATGCTTACAATGCACCCCCAAAAGAATACAAATCAATAATGTGAAAACAATCTTCAGTGAAAAATGCATTTCAGAATTGAATGAAGAAAACAAGATCAAATCATTCTACATAAACCATCGAATGGGGACAAATTCTCAAAACCCTAAGTAACACAGGCTCCCAAAATAGAACACTAAACATACAAATAATAACAAACAGGATAACCCAGTTAAGAAATGCATCAAAATCAAAATAAACCCTATTGATTCTCGAACAAGGATCGTCGAACCAGCACAATAAACAGAGCATTTCAGTTAAATTAAAAAAAGTCTGCATGAACCAGAACTTTAATCTCTTGAGAGAAATAGAGTTCATCAAAGATAAGCTGTATGCAACAACTAAAAGCTACGAACTCTAGCTACAAGTAACTCGAAACTAAAGTAAAATAAACAAATTGCCTACCAGATGAGGTAAAAAACAAAAACAAATTTTGAGACAAATAGGGATGCAAAAATGAGTAGACTGAAACCCTAGATTTTGATAGAATTAGAAGGAAAGAGGTTAGGTTTGGGGTTTGGGATTCTCTGGGATTTTTTTCTTTTCCCTCCAAAGACGGAGAAAGAGAGGGAAAATAAAAAGAATGAAACGAAACAGAGGATCGAAAATTATATTTTTGCTTGAAATAAAGAGGTTGGATCATAAAATAAAAATGGGGTTTATTATTTTATTTTATTTATTTTTTAAAAAAAATCAGTTCTTATCAGAAATTGGGCTACTCGCGATTGATGTTGAAAAAATTATACTCGCTACACGTGTTGTAAATGGGTAACGTAGCCGTCGAGATATGGCACGTGATTGCAATTGTGATTGCGAGAGTAGGAATTGAGCTTCTCTGTGCCGTGTTTGAGCTTTATTTTGCTTAAAACGACGCCGTTGGAGACGGATTTCTCTCTCTAATTTGGAGTCGAGGGAGATTTTTGTTTTACTTTTTATTATACGTCCCGAGTCACTGACATTTTTGTCTTAATTCTTTATGGGTTCTTATACTCCTTAAATTTGTTGCATTAGCTCTTTCTATTTAAAAAATTCAAAATTAACCCCCATGACCTTTTTGTTTTTTTGTTCTTATTTAATTTTTATTAGTCAAATTTAACTTTGATAGATCATATAGTTCTACGAGGAAATTCATTTCTACAACGAAAATTAAGTATAATTAAGTTTATTATTAAAATAATTCTTAGTGTTATTTTTAATAGTTTTAGAGATTATAAAATAATATTTATTTATAACTTTATTAATTTATTGATAATGTACACACATTCTACCTATACAAATACTCAAACTTAAAACATTGAAATGATAACATTCTTTTTTTTTGTCACAGAGACTACGTGATAATTTTTTTAAATTTTATAACTCAAAGTAAAACTACTTTATATTTGTTATTTTACTGATCAAGTTAAATACATACATATTGAAATTTATAATATATATTTTCATGTGGAAGTGTTATGAATAGTATTTTTATATCTCGCGAAAATCGAAAATATAAGTTTTACGTTAGTTAAGACTCTAAAGTCTAAATAGACTTCTACGTTTATTAGAGTTTTTAAATAATTCATATCTTTTAAATAGTGGAGTAATATAATTTTCGAAGTAAGTTACAATGTATGATAATACTTATAACAGATCCACATAAATTATTCGAGTACAATTAATATTTGACTATCAAATCTATTTAATCAGCTAAATTACGAGTATTCATGATTATCATATGTATGACACATCAGTTAGAGTTACTGTGAATACTTCTCAGTCACGACTGACATGGTGGATTCTGATCACTTCTTTTATTTATTTACTTCCATCTTTCTCCTTTATGCCTTCATTTCTCTTATAGAAAATGTCGCAACCGTATTTCAGTTAGGCCCCGAGATTGGGTTTCGACTTAGGAAAATGGATTGGGAGTCGCCACCGATCATTTATTTAAAAATAAATGGGTTGATCGGATACCCTATTTCTTACCTGATCTGCGTCTTACCAAAAATGTGTCGGGTTCGGGAGTCGGTTACGGTTAAGGAAGGATTAGCACCCTTGAACCGTCCTTTCGGTACTACGTACTTTCCAGTTGTCTTTGATTAAGAAAATTACATTTTAAATTAAAAGGTAAAATAGCGATCCAAAACTTACCTTTGACGGATTTAAATCATGCCTTTTAAAGAAAATCATAAAATGTTAGATGAAAAATAAGGAATAAATGAATAAAATAAATAAACCCAAGCAAGAAGGAAGATAGAATTAGTAAAAAAAAAAGCTAAGATAAATAAATAAATAAGATAATAAATTGATAAAATGAAAATAAACACATAATTAATAAATTAATAGAACAAATTAGAAAAACTAAGCAAAAGTAAAAAATACAAATACAGAAAAAGAAAAAAATGGATAAAAAAATAGTAATAAAATACGAGAAACTAAAAATGATAATATATATAACTATTAAGTAATAACAATAATAAATAGGAAAAAACGCCACTCCACCGAAAATAAAAAAGGATACAAATTTTAAAAAAGGGATACGGATTAAAAAAAAAAGATAAAGGTTTGGTCATCTACAAGAGGGGGTAGGGCCTAAAGGAGTGATAATTCAAAACGTTAGGTTATATATAATATAATAATAATGAGATATGGTTTTTTAATACAAAGCAAATGAGAATGATGAAACGTGTATACATATAATATTAGAGAAAAAAAACATATGTATATATAGTTAAAAATAAAATAAAACTAGAAAAGCTAATGATTTAAAAAGTTTATATATATTAACGTATATAAAAAGAATAGAAATAAAATATAAATAAAAGAAAATGATAGTAATATAAATAAATAAAATATTAAGAAAAATATACATATAAATAAAATAAAACAAATAGATGAAATAATAACAATTAAAACTTAAATACATGGGACCGAATTGAATGAAAAACAGAAGTGTGTATCGATTTTAAGAGGAATTGGGGCGATAATAGAAGAACTAAAGAACGGAGGACCAAAACTGTGGTTTACCCTATTTAAATGAAACACGTGGGTCGCTTGCAGGTATGGGTCGAGTCATGGATCAGGCGCGGGTCCTGATGGTTGCAAATATGAAAGCCAAAAGAAAAAGAAAAATTTAATATTCTTCATTTCTCTCTTCCCCAGACGAAAACCCCTCCTCTCTCTCTCTCGTTTTCTTTAGTTTGTTCATCCAAAATGATGAACGCCGCCACTCGTTTCCAGAAAACGGTGGCTTTCACCTCGCCGGCCGCCGGTCATGGGTGGTGGTACACAACAAAAAACCGTTTTTTAAAGAGCTCTTCTTCTTCTTTACTCAAAAGTCCAAGTGTGTTTTTAAAACCCGAGCTTTAGAGAATATTAGATCTAAAAAATATTTTCGAAAATAAGGGCCTCATCTCATTCATCGGCCGAAAACTTTGATGTTTTTGAGCGAAAACAACACAATAACGCATGCAAGTCACCAACGAAACGAAAAAAAGGTTCTACCTTTGTTATATTTCTTTGCTGTTCGAAAAGGTACAAGTGCTTCCTCTCCTCTGTATTTTTCTAGTACTCTAGTAAGATTTCTGTGGTAATCCTTTATGTATTGTGGATTTTTTCCTCTCCCTGAAGATGTTCACTTTACATGTATTTATAGTCTAAGAATACTAGTCTTAGTCCCAATTTTCTAGCATTTTATTTGGACTAAATCACTGCTTGGTTGGTTGTGGATGTATCCTTGTATCTCACGTCGTTATGTTTGTTGTGGATGTATCCTTGTATCTCACGTCGTTGTGTTTGTTGAACATGTGAGAAATGACCGTGAAAGGAGGCGTGCGGCCGTGAAACTCGGGTGTTGGGACTGCTGCGCGGCGCTGGGTCTTCAACAGGGGAGAACGGCGCTGATGGAGCGTGTGAGGCTAGGGTTCTTTGGAAACCCTAAGTATGCACGGGTTTGGGTTTTGGCTGGGGCCCTTAGGATTTGGGCCTTTATTGTTGGGCCTGTAACAGAAATTTAAGGATGTAAATAAATTATAATTTATAACATAATATAATATTATATATATGTATGTATTATGATGGGCGAATTTCAGTGTCTTCAGCTACCCCTCTTTGCTCATTATCGTGTAATGAAAATAGAGCAAAGATTAAAAGACACAAATTTCGTCCATATCAACTATCCTCTGTCACAGAGTTGAAATTTGATCAAGAAATGACTCCCTTGTCGTGGGGTTGAGTCAAAACTGGAAGATTCTGAGCACGAAATCTTTCGATGCGAAGCTGAAGACGAGCTCAAAGCTTTTGACAAGTGGCCTCTGAATCATCTTCTGGTTCAAGGTACTTCGTCGTGAAGGTGACCCTTGATCTGAAGACGGCGGCGTTGTGGTGTTACAGATGACTCCTTCGTCGCGAAGTTGGATCAATCTGTTTGTGAAGTTGGTATTGTATATAGCTCCTTCGTTGTGAATTTGAGCCTGAGAATTGGAAGTCCTTCGTCGTGAAGTTGAAATCCAAGTATTGTTCCGGAGTCCAATATCATTCACTGTGAAGTTGAAATTGGCTCTGAAATTGAGAAGTTGTCGGTTGACAGTCAGCGGTCCCTTCGTCGTGAAGTTGAACTTATACTGTCTTGAGTCCAATATCCTTCGTGGTGAAGTTGAAATTGGCTCTGAAATTGAGAAATGTTTGTTGACAACCAGCGGTCCCTTCGTCGTGAAGTTGAACTTGCGTTGTCTGGAGTCAAATATCCTTCGTTGTGAAGTTGAAATTGACTCTGGGATTGAGAAATGGTTGTTGACAACCAGCGGTCCCTTCGTCGTGAAGTTGAACTTGCGTTGTCTGGAGTCCAATATCCTTCGTTGTGAAGTTGAAATTGGTTCTGAATTTGAGAAATGTTTGTTGACAACCAGCGGTCCCTTCGTCGTGAAGTTGAACTTGCGTTGTCTAGAGTCCAATATCCTTCGTTGTGAAGTTGACTCTGAATTCGAGAAATGTTTGTTGACAACCAGCGGTCCCTTCGTCGTGAAGTTGAACTTACGTTGTCTAGATTCCAATATCCTTCGTGTTGAAATTGGCTCTGAATTTGAGAAATGTTTGTTGACAACCAGCGGTCCCTTCGTCGTGAAGTTGAACTTGCGTTGTCTAGAGTCCAATATCCTTCGTTGTGAAGTTGAAATCGGCTCTGGGTAAAACCTGCAAAGATATGCATATATGCGATGGTATGGATGTCATGCTCTTAGGTATGCCTAAAATGTATGGGCAACATATGTTATTCTGGGCTTTGGAGAGAAATCTTGATTTC